AGTACGGACCTTGTTCTCTTTCTTGTGGAGAGACAAGGCCCCTATGGTATCTCGCGAGATCTGTTGCCTTCATCCCTCTGAGGGCGGCCTAGGTTAGCCTAGCATTGAGATTCGTCAACATATCACCTTTATAGACCGAATGTGTCGCGGATCGGATGAGGAGGGTGCCTTTTGGAAAGAAGACGTCCGTAAACATTTCCCGTCCCTGAGAAGTGTGCACTCGTGTGAGGGAGAGGCCGGCCGTACACCCCGAGCCGAGTGCTCCTTCTATCGCGAATGTCGTCGTGCTCTGAAGCTCCTCTTACGGGCTTCGGATGGCCTCTCCAACGCCCAGGCGTTGTCTCGTAAGGCGTATCAACTCTTACGAAGCAGGGGGCTCGCTTACGATATGGCCTTGGGCGCCTGGGTTGAAATGCCTCAATAATGATGAGGCATCACTCACCTGCTGATGATTCGTGGGGCCCTCTGGGTCGGCAAGAGACTTTGTTCAGCAGGCTTGGAGAAATATCCAAACTGTCGTCGCTGTACGGGGGAAGTCGAGACCATTGGTCACGCCTTCTTTCACTGCAGGGCGGTAGTGCCGTTGTGCAGGTTTGTTGAAGACCTCATGGTTCGCATGCTGCAGGGAAAGTTTTTTTGTCCTTAAAGCCAGTTCTGTTTGTAACAATGTGGTGCCGCAGATGGCGAAGGCTGAACACTATGTGTTCTGCTGCTTACTAGGGATTATGAGAGTCGTGATTTGGACGACACGTCAGAAGGAATTCTATGACAGCGAGAAGTTCACCTCTTCCCAACTGATCTTGTTCTTTAAGCATCAGCTTAAAGTCAAGATTAGGACGGAAAGGCGGCGGCTCACCTCATCAGAATTTGGCAAAAGGTGGGTGAATCTTGCGCGTATGTGCCGAGTAAAAGGAGCTGACCTTGAGTGGCATTTTGATGCCGGTTAGGTATCAGGATATTGTTTTCCTGGGTTGAACTTGGGCAACCCATCCCTGGTTTTAGGTTAGAGTAGGTTTTCGGTTTTGAATTTTTAGTTTCTCTTCTTTTTCTGTAAACTTAGCTACTGTGTGTCTGCTCATTGGCCCCCCTTTTTTTTCTGTCCCCCTTTTCTTTTTGTTTAGTTTAACTCCCCATCCCATCCCTCGTTAGGTGGTCAGTATTTTGAGTTCTCTGGTGGATGCGGGACGCCTTGCGTTTCGAGGGTGTGTTTTTTCGTATTTGTTGTTGTGTCTGAATCAGTGCGTGTTTGTGTGAGTGGTTGGGAGTGATGAAGGTTTTTTTCTATATTTTTTTAAAGTCCCGTGTCGATTTTGTCCTGTTAATTGATTTTACTGTCACATTTAGGGTTTGTCGGGGGTTTTATTACTAACGCGATTTTGTTTAGTTTCATGTAAATAATTTTATGTCATATTGTATATATTCATTGGGGTCGTTTTTACTTGTTATATTTTATCCCCCCCCCAGACATTATTTGTACATATGGGGTTAATTAGGATTCTCATTGAGACAATGAGGTATTTTGGTGGAAGTCGTAAGAAAGGTAATTATGAATGTGGTGTTTTGGTGGTAGGATTATTGTTTCGTATGTTTGGGTCAGTGGTTGTGGCTAGCTAAGTTTAAATTAAGACAACTGATGACCATCCTTTTTCCCCAACCCCTCTTTTGGCCTTGTGTCACATTTACTGTAAATACGTTAATAAATATAGTGGGCCCTTAAAATATTCAACTTGTTCACTTGACTTCACTGGAGATAGACTCAACAACAAAGGAGACGAACCAAATTCTTCAACACGACAACGAACCTTGTCAACCAATTCCAGGCTTAACTTTAATTACTAAAATTAACATAAATCCATCTAGCGAAAGAACGCTCACTCCCACAAAATATTCTATTCCACAAGTATCTCCGGTAAAAGAGCGACAACTCTTTAAAAATCAGTGAGTCAAGAACAATACTTTTTTTTTATATTTAATACAAAAAAATAACTGTTTAATTTTTGTATAACCAATACAGATTAAATAACCCACTATAGACAGTAGTGTTGATTTATTATCCAATGAATGCTTGTGGTTGTATAATTTGAATGTGTATGTATGTATGTATGTATGTATGTATGTGTGTGTGATGAACATAATCACAAACCCATGCGTTACAAAAAATATTGCTCAAGCTCCTTTGAAGGCCAGGAGACGTCTTATACGCCACATAATGACCGAAGGCGGGGCAGAGCCTGGCGGGAACACTCACTTGAAGCTTGAACTATTTATTAATTTTTAACCCCCTGGCAAGGAAATTCATTATTTCAACTAATGTATTCTATGCTGTTATTAAAGTCGGGAAATTTAACTTCATAAAGGAAGGTAATCATATGGGCATTACTGTGAGAATTTCTTCTCACACAGTTTAACCCTTGGCAGAGAAAAGAAAAGACATACAATTAACAAAGCCTACCTTAAAATTTAATACAAATTTTATTGCGTCTTCGCAAAAAAAGATTATGCCCTTTTTTGCCCCTGTGAATAGGGTGGGGTAGTTTCTTCAAAGAAGAGGTCTGGAACCGCGCAGGGATTCCACCTACTTTTACGTGCGCGCGCGTATTGCACCCCTTCCTTTCACTTTGGCTAGATATAGTAGTAAATAGCCGTCTGCCGCCGACGTGAGGAAGTTGCTGGCTGCTGCTGATTCCAGCTAGAACAGAATTTGAAGTTTTCCCGCGCATTCTCTGACGTCACTGACGAACGGTGGTTTTCAAATCAGTCGCTGCCTGGTCTCCAAGCTAAAAGGTCGACTCATTTATTTCGCGCCCCTTACCCATACGAGGGCCGAAATACCTTAACTACAAAAAACTTCCTAGTAAACTCCTTGGCTCATCATGCCGATTTATAAACTTCACATACACCTTTTGAACCAGTTTAAAAAGAAAAAAAAAAGATAACATTACACACACATGACAAAAATTTCGCAGTGAGTATTTTTCCTTGTTGTGTATGCATGTACCTTTTGCATAAGACTCTGTTCCAGAATTTTCCTTCTGAGTGAACCTTTCCCGCTTTAGCCATTTTGATTTTCGTTTTGGCGCGGAACATTAACATTCTTTAACTGACTACTTGTCACTACCTTATACAACTTGTCTGCTTGCTAAGAACTAGCTTTACTTTTCTGATAGTCTCCACTGTTTGAGACAAAATACTTTTTATTGAATAAAGTTTTTTGTTTTCCACCAGACTCGTTTTTGTCGTTCCTCCTGGCTACCTATTTTTACCTTTTAATGCACGTGTTGAATGACCTTTTTTTTTCCTCACAAAGATTCTTTTTTTTTTTACTTTGCTAGTGAATTCGGTAGTCGTGAGTAGTGTCTGGCACAAGGCCACCTTTTTCGTAGGCCAGCACTGCATGCTACCGGGTCTGCTACAGAGGTAGTCATTTTTTCTTCTGTAGGACTCACTGGTCTCTACGCAGATTTGAAGAAGCAGGAACTTGCCGGTCGTCGCAGGAGCATTACCATTTTGGTTGCTGAAGTTAAAACTCGGCTATTTGTCGAGAGCATGCAGAAAATTCTTCATGTTAAAAGTACATAAAGATACGACAGTCAATAAATCGACTGAATTATTCAGCCTTGAAAAGTCTCTAAAATATGAGACAAGAAGAATCATTGCCTAGTCATTTAGGTTTGATTTTGGGCGCTAAAGGCCTTGCAAAGTGATTGAAATATGAGTCCTGTCATTTTGAAGGTTTTTGCAGCAACTCGCAAAAAAGGCACGGGCCGTTGAAAAAGCCCGCGAAAAGCAAAGTCAAATTCAACCAATGAGATTGGTCGGTACAAAATACTGTGTGGCATAAATTAGCCAATAGGAGCTCTTGCTTAATTGCAGAATTTCTCACATTACTTAATTAGATTGGTCCACTCGTAAAAATAGCGAAATATGTCGGGGATTCCCCAATTTTTTTTTTGGATTAACATTCAGACTCTCTTGAAGCCATGGTATTTGTCAGAATCGAAAAATATTTATTATTACCAATTTAGAGAATAAATAATCGCATATCAGACGCTGACTTTTTTACAGAGTTATCTGGACTGAGTTGTTATTCACAAATGTAGAGTTTGCTTAAGTAATTGATATTTATTTGAATTTTTTTAAAAATTATCAAATATTAGAACTTTTAAAATTTAAAAAAATATTGGTGGGGATTTTTTTCGGAAGTACACACAAAAAACTGGGAGATATAAGTATTTTTAAATGAAGAATAAACGGATATAGTTTTATCTACATTTTCACTCTTTACTTTAAAATGTATATTTTTTAAATTCAATTTATTTAAAATCAATCTTTTTTTTTTTTTTTTAATATCTGTTTTCGCACGCAGAACAGCTAAGTCCAATTAATTAAAAAGCCATTAACTGATTTTTTCACACTTTTTCGATAACAGGAGCCGCCTTCTGAAATGATAAAAAAAAAAAAAAACTGTTTTTTTTTTTTTTTTTTTCACAAATGTCGTGTTTGTGAAAGAAGGAATAATGCTTCTACCAATTATTCCCCGAAAATATTTTCCTTGTTATTTTTACGAGTGGACCAGTCTATCAAGTTGTGGCTAGAGATCTTGCAAATAAATGTGGAAAATGAAATAAAAAATGTATTACTTTGCTAATAATTTTTTATGTTTTGATATTGGAAGGACAAGTGATGACTTGCTTGTCACACACACACGGAAAAACCTAATAAGTTTTCTAACTTCAGTTTAAAACGCATTAAACAATTATTGTCTAACAAGTAATTGGCATTACTTATTTTATTCGTACGAATTTTAAAATCAACATTATATGAAATAAAGAAAAAGGAGCAAAAGAAGACGGAATCTATCGCTTTATTGCTGTCTCAGTAAAAATTATGAACAGATGAAAGTGTCAATTTCGACCTGCCGTAAATTAGTTTTATGGGCGGGAATTTTACGACACTGTGAATCGTTTTACTTCTCCAAAAATATAACAAGTATTTTCTCTATGGAGCAAATATTGGATTTAACCGCATGTGATACAAATTTGGACTCGACAGCTTACAGTTCTATTCATTCAAATTTGGTATGTAAAAAAAATGTTTAATTAATATTTTGGGTTTTATTGAAACAAAGACTTTGTTGTGTTTTTAAATTGTGGTGTTGCTATTTCTGCTTTTTAGACTTTCACTTTATTTTTGTTTTTAATTTGAAAATTAATTTCCTCCTTCGAAAGATTCGTTTCTTTGTAGATATTATTTTTACTATAATTTTCTCCTTGGAAAGATTTGGGGTAGCCGGTAGATATTTACAGTTTATTTATTTTCTATTTTTTTACGATTATTTCTTTGTTTCATTTTATTTTTAATATTCGCTGGTTAGTAACGGAGAGGAAGTAAGTATTTTCACTTTGTCGTTGAAAAAAACAAAAAAAAGAAGCAAAACGGCATAAAAAAAGGCCCCAAACTTAATAAAAACAAAGTTTTATCGTCAAACAAAATGTTTATGTAATTATTAAGACTCTTAATTTAAGAGAAAAGACCAAAGTATTTTTTAATTATTTTTTTAATTTTTTAATCCTTCCTAACACGTTCAAAATTTTGGTTAAAATTTTTTTTTCACCTCAGCGATCAACATTAGAATTATTAAGGTTTAGTGTTTTTGCGCGTTTTTCAGGTGAAAAAAAAACCCATCAATTTGGAAATTCTTGCAAAACTCAAATTATTATCGGATTTTAATGAAACTTTCAGAACTTATTCACAAATGAATGGAATTATTTTTGAATTTTTTCTTTTTTTAATAATCTTACTTAATTTCATGAAATTTTGAGAAATTAGATTAAGCTGCAGTTCTTAAAAGATATTGAATAAAAAAAAACATGACCCCAACCCCCAGTTACCGAAAATCTGTTCTGAATCGTAAAATTTTAAAAATGCAATAAAGCTATGACATTATTTAATTAGAAAAGCTTTTAATTGCTTTTATGAATAAGATTTATTAAGGACATTATTTTCAAAATCGACAATTTCTTTTGTTTACAAATATATAAAAAAATGGCCGGTTTTGTGAAATCGAGCGAAGTTGAGATTCGATCAATATAATTTAATTTCTATTTGAAATATCCGAACTTTTATTGTCGATAACTCCAAAACGGTAGATTTTATCAAAATTTAATTGTTATTTCCGAGTTCAGCATGTGTAAATTTACACAGATATATAACGATTTGGGAAATTTTTAATAGATATTTAGCGTGGGGCTTAAGAAGCAAATTAACCCCCAAAAATTTTATGTTAATTTATCTGGTATTTTATCTTAAAAATGAAATAAAACAAACCAAAATAATAGTTGATTTTAAGCAACAAAAAGGGCAGTGTCAGTTTCGTTTTTATTTGAAAGTTAATATGGAACCGAAATATCACGTTTTATTCAGATTTAAAATAATAATTTCTATTTTAACGTGTAGCTTTTTTATGTAAAAAAAAAAAAAAAAAAAGAAGTGAGTTATTGAAAAAAGAAAGACATTTAGTTTGAATGGAGTGGGGACTGTTTTTTACACAAAATAATAACCCTAGTGGTCAAAATCATGACTTTCAGCAGGGCTCGAACACTGACTTTTGGCGTTTGAGGTAAACTTAGATATTGTACAGAACTATTCACTTTCTCTTTCTTCTTCCTTTTTTCGATGAAATTTTGGTTTCTTGGCAGAAACGCACCACTCCCAGAAATATTTTTTTAAAATGTTCCTCAAGATCGCAATTATTAAATAAATTATTAATATTTTCCAAATGTTAATAGCGAGTACTGGTACAGTTTTTTTTTTTCTGTAGGTTCATTGAAAAATATTGATACTGCCCTCTACGCCCCCCCCCCCATTCATAATTCGTGATAAAGCATCATATTATTCTTATTTGTGTTTTGGTTACAGCACGGCCAACAGTTGGTCTTTAAAAACATTTTGACTTTTTAAAACTTAGCTTTTATTAAATTTGGGCCCTTTTCAGCATAAAAGTAGAGGTACATATAAAAAAAAAAATCATGATTATTATTCCAAAAATAGCATTAAAAATTTGCTGAAATCTACCGTAATCTTATTTGGGTTCCGGGTTACAGCACATTCGCCTTTATGGGACTAGAGAGAGACTGTGCGCTGGCCTACTCAATTACTACGTGAAGGTTTATCCATACTGGATAATTAAAAAACAAACAAACAAACAAAAAGAATCATCCGAACACTTTCACAGATTCCTGACAGGCCGAAAAGCTGTACCTGGGACCCAAATAAGATTGTCAGTATCCTCCTAAAAGGTGGACTTGCTGCAATTTTTATTGCTATTTTTCTTTTGTAATAATCATAAGGCCCCAAAGAAAACAAAATTTTAATGTCAAAATGTTTGTTATTATTAAGAGGAAAGACCCAATATAGGTTGGGCTGTAGCCGAGATACAAAAAACCCAACAAAGATTGTCGATATCTTCTAAAATTTTTAATTTTTTTTTTTTTGAATATTCAGGCTTTTTTTTACACCAGAAATACTGCTTCATTTTTAAATTAGTTTCTAGGTCCTAAATGCAATTTTACCAATTTTTATTTTTATTATTTGCAAAAAAAAAATGTTAAAGATCTATGTATAATCGTCTAGGTTGTTTTTTTGTTTTTTTTTTATGCGTGTTTTGAGAAAAATGCATTCTTCAAAAGATCAGATGGTTTGTGCTAAATTTTGTGCAAATTTTATGGCCTTTTAGGTTTAAGCGTTGATATTGCCAAAATTGTTTGATGTATTGCAGATTCATTTTTTTTTTTAATACTAGGAAAGTGTTTTATTGGCTAATGAGAAACCCATTTTCTAGCCCTTGTGAAATTTTGGCTGGAGCTGATACGATGGTCACTTATTCAATAAAAAGGACTGTTATCAGCGGACAAAGAAAGAACAGACAAGAAAAAGAATGTGCCATTGATAAGAACAGAGACAGCATTAGCACCCGCACTTTAGAGGAGGATGGTCTCTAGCCAGAGGTCATAAATCAGAGATAACAGATTCAAAGCAGAGCTCTACTCCAAAACTTAAATTCCTTATGAACCTACTGGAGAATTCTTCACACTGAATATACAAGTGAACATTGCTGTAATATTATTCTAAGAGCCCTGGAGGAAATAGGTTGAAAATGCAAAAAAAAAAACTTCTTTGAGCTCAGATGTCCTGTTTGTGTAAGCTGTTAAGAATAGAAGTGGGAACTATATGAAAAATTTTTGCCTTGTGCCATTTTGTTATTCCTTTCTCCAAGTTTTTTCTGCTTTTGAAGGGGTTAAATTTTTGTATATGAATCCATTTCTTATCAAACTCATTGTCACAGTTTTTTCTTGTTTCTGTGGGTAATCATTTTTTTTTTTTTGTTACCTATGAAATTGTTATCCTGCCATTGATGCACACAGAAGGAAATTTTTGTGCAACACTTGTATTATGCCTTTTTTTTGTAATTGTATAAACTATAAACAAATGTGGTTATCTTGAATTAAATTTTTGCACCTCTTGTGACTTGCTGTTTCTACCAACTGACTTTTGTGTCTGACGCAAGGAATTCTTGGTAAAAGTATATTTTTAACATTTGTTATCCCTCCCACTTATTTAATTTTATGAAATTTCGAGAAGTTCAATTTTGAAGTGCTTAATGATTATATTAGTTATAAGCACAAGTCCTCTGAGAATTTAAACCAGATCAGAGCAAAGATAGATGTAAAAAATAAAATTTTTGAAAATGCAGTAATAATTGTCAAAGTCAGTTGGAGAATTCAACACGTGTTTGCAGTATGAAAACTAACATTTTTTGAGGTCAGTTTATTGCCATCAGGAGAAACAACTCTTAAAACACGTGACATTAATGTCACTTATGATCATCCATATATTTTTGGAGAAAAAAAAAATTTTATGTACATTTAAAAACAGTGTAAAGTTCTTTTCTAAAATACTTGTGCCTTGTTGATTTTATAAGCTTTATGATCTGTAAACACATACATAAATAAGAGTGATGTGTAAGCAATAGATGCCCAGGGAAGAGTTTTTTGTAAAGTGAGGTCACATGTGATGAAGGGAGGGAAATTACATGCAGGATCATTGGTGGAAATTTTGTGATTTATCACCATTAGTATTTTATGCATACAAAAGGGTAAAACGTATATATATATATATATATATATATATATATATATATATATATATATATATATATATATATATTTTTTTTTTTTTTTTCTTAGACATGCATACACACATATACATCTCCATATATGCATAAATACATATAAATCATCCAAAATCCCAAGTTTGAGTTAATTTTCCTTAAAATAGATGTTATTTTAGAAATCTGAAGTGATTCTTGTGTCTGCATTTGAAATTGTACATGTATGCACAAACATACTATTGTACTTTTTTGCCTTTGAATCTGTGTTGGGACATATATTTTTGTATATACAAACATGTGCCTGTGTATGTGTACAGGTGTGTATTCGTGTGCTGTATGTTGTATTCTCTCATGGGTAGTTGCATAGATTACGCATTGTGTGTATATCTGGGTACACTTGGAAACGCTCTTAAGTGCCTCTTTACAGTCATATGATTAAGGATGTGTCTGAGAAAATCTTACATGTTATCTAAGTACTTACTTAGGAATGCACTTGTCAAGTATGTGAATATATGTTTATGGATACACATAGATATGTGTGGGTATATATGTATGTGATTGTGTGAACGCAAGTGAAAACGTGTATATGGCTGCGAATGTGTATGGATGTAGGTATATGTGTGTGTGTGTGTGTGTGTGTATATATAGAAGAATGTGTATGTTCTCCAGTTCTTCCTTCCTTCCTTTCGCCTCTTTTCTTTCTTTTTCTCTTTTCTTTGTTCCCCTCTTGAAAAATCATCTCCACTCCCTTCTTTTGTCCAGTAAATAAGAAGTCATTACTAATATCTCATCTCCTAGAGACATATCCCCCAATTACCTCTTTCCTTTGCTTCCTACTTTTTGGAACTATCTTAAAACACAACTTCCATTAATTTTGTTTTTCGTTTGATTCCTGGAAGAATTTTTGAA